TAAGAATGATGTCAATAATAATAATAAAATAAAATAATAATAATATTAATAATATTAATAATAATAATAATAATAATAATAGTAATAGTTATAATCATATTAACAACAACAAGTATTCTTTGTCACATTTTGGTTGCAGATTCTTACAATCACAAATATATTATTCATAAATGTAATAGTCAAAAAGGATGTTAAATTAAGAGAATACGTGGATAGTGATACTCTATTTTGTTTTCATCATCTTTCCTCTCGTTAATCGTCCCTCTTGTGTACAATAATTAAACCTATAAATAGTTCTATGTTCAACAGCCAGTGGTATAGTAAAGTATACCTTTGAGGTACCTACGTAGTTTCTTTCTTTCAGTGATACCAAATACAACACTGACGGACCACGTGATCACGCTCCGGCCAACGGGAACTGAGCCTCGCGGTCGTCAGTCCATATCGTGTCGGTATTACATTTATATATATACATATATCTATATATGTATTTATTTATTTATGTTTATATATATATAGATATAAATATAGATATAAATATAGACATAGATGTATATATATATTTTTATATTTATATTTATATTTATATATTTATATACTCGAATATCGTTCGAAGCTGGGATATCCCGACAAAGGCTTTCTTTCTTCTATATATATACACACATATAATATTATCACTCATATGTATATATATAAAAAACAAGACAGAGCGTGGCGCTATCCGGCCGCATGCTCCCGCGCAATCACCGCTTTCCTTCTCTTATCCCATTTCTCTTCGAATCGTAGCTTCATACTAACGCGATGTCCATTCCGCGATTCGTTATCCATCTTTCTCTCTTCCACCTTCTCGTTTGCAATCGTTGTACGATTCAGACTGACAACATTGAAAGAGGGTCGGTCATCCGAGACGACACCGCGACTTTTGACACGACTCGCGACGATACACGGGCTACTCGCGAGCGATAGTCTCGACATAGCCAAACGGGAAACGGAAACTTTTGGTCCTTCGAATTCGAGTTCGATAAAAGTCGGTGGTCCTACGTTTCGTCGCAAACGCGAGTACTCCCCACCATGGTTTCCACCATTTACCTATCACCGTACAGAAAAGGTTCGAGAGTGCGGGGGGGCGCAGCGGCCTGCAGCTTTCTCGCATTGTATTTGGTGATACGTATCTGAATACTGACTTCGTGTGTTGTAGCGTTACATATAATACAATAGTATCCATTACGTATAAGGTGTAACATGGGTGTAACTGTATTGTGTGACTATGTGTCCGCGTATGCGTGTGTGATATTCCCTCTTCTTTTTTTCTCTCTTCCCTCTTCTTCTTCTCGTTTCATCTTCCCGGTTGTTCCACGCAGCGCGGCGTTCCACCCGGCTTTCTTCTTCGTTCCCCGTTTACGTTTATGTTCAAACATATATTACATAGATCCCGTTACCGTGCAAGGTATTATTGGCCTGCAGTCACTCGGACAACAGCTTCTGTAACAGCGATGACTGGTTCACCTTTGGATCACCTCGTGCCACTTCCTCCGTAGAAGTCTGAAAAAATTCGAGCCGTTAGATTCTGACCAGTTCGTGTAACTCGATCGAAGTCGACCACCTTCCCCGTCCGAGAGATGTCGATCGATTTCAGAATGTAGAGTAGAGAGGACAGAAATTATCAGCGACGGTGTATCAAGATTTTGCCAATCTTCTGCCTGATTATCTGATCGAACGTTATCCGTTAGTTACTTGTACGAAAAATGAAAGAATTGTCATCGTGAAAATGTATTCTGTCTTGTTTCACCATTTCGTTCCACCGGGTGATACGTCTATTCGCACAAGAAATCAGTTGAAAATATACAGAGCGTCCCAAAATTATTGTATAAGCGAGAAATGAGGGTTTCAAGTAACTTTTTCCTTAGCGAAAATGCAATTCGCGGCTTCGTTTGCGAGTTATTAACAAAAAACAGTGACCAATGAGAGGCGAGATCAGCTGGCGCGAGCGGAACTGAGCTTCGATCGCTTCGCGCCAGCTGATCTCGCCTCTCATTGGTCACTGTTTCTCGTTAATAATTCGTAAACGAAACCGCGAATTGCATTTTAAAAAAAATGTTACTTCAAACCCTCATTTCTCGCTTGTACAATAATTTTGGGACAGCCTGTACACGTTCGAGGATCTCGATGCTTAATTAATTATTTACTTCAAATGGGAAAATCGAATAGTTCAATAAACTCCACAATGAAGAAACTAAATTTGGATTTGTTGTATTTACGTATTCGAATTTCTGATTTATCCAGTGCATCGTTTGTGAATTCGTGTAAACGTCGTCTACGTCCAATGTACTATTAAAATTCAATTTCCGTCAAATTGTATTTACCAAAATATAAAAAGATCCACTGTTAAATTAGAAATCTGTTCCTTCGAGCAATCCGTGTAGCAGAAATTGATCGGTTGCTGAGAAACCGCATTAAAAAAATCGAAAATTATATTTAGCATAGTTATTGTGCAGAGCAAAGGACACAAACAAAACAAACAAAATGAACGAAATCTGTCTTATTGCTTCGCCTCGAATAATTATATTAGCGTGCCACAGTGAATAATTTAGTGGATCATTTGGTGTTAACGAAGTTATTTCTTATTTTTCTAATGCGTATACGCGCGAAAATGGAGTATCTCGAAATAATATACACACAGTATGCTCACGATTGATGGGAACGATTTAATTTTGCAATGCTATAATGCAATTTTGCAATGCTAATTACAAACGATGCACGACGCAAAGTAAAGAATTACTATTAAATAATGTTTCGATGATACGAATGTCTCAAATTCTTTAAACTTCGTATTTGTATCGTATCTATTATATATAATATAATATATATATAATATAATATATATAATATATATTATATATAATATATTATA